GAAGATTCAAAGAAGTCAAACAAAAATGAGATCATTTTGGAACGATCAGGCAATTGTGGAAGGTTTTGATTTACATTTGATGAAAGAACTTTTAATAAGACTACAATGCTAACTAAGGAATTTAAGTGCAATACTAAGAAGTAAGTGCATGAAAATAAAGAACTTGTGTTAAAATTGCTAGAATTGAAATAAATGAAAGATAAATGACATTGAATTGTAGTTGTTTTATGTTGTTGAGAGAGATCCAAATGTAGTCCTAGGTACACTATTTATAGGCATTACAAGCCTTATAAGAAGGACCCATGTCCTACCAAAAAACTACATATCTTCTCTTTATAAGACACTTGTCCCACGTCCAGTTACAGAAGCTCAACTTCCAGACCCACGAACTGCAAACTTCTTCCAGTGATGCCATGTGTCCCACGTCCTTACTTGTTTGTTTGAATATATATATATATATATATATATATATATATACATATACATATCACGTTCTGCAACTACTACATCATTCCCCTTTAAAATAGGACTAGTGCGTATAGTTGAAATGTTTGATTTTCTCCTAGATTATAGGAACCACCTTCTTTAGCAAATTCTTGGCCCAACTCCCTTGTAAATAGGAACTCCAAACAAACTAAACTAGGTAGTTTGTAAGAGTTCTTCTACGTGTAGACTTTATTGGGCCAATCTCCTCCTTAATTATAGGAACTACCTTATCCATTAAGGTATTCATATCCTAGTTTCATTCTAGGCTCAAACGAGGCTTTATTCATGGCTGAATTAAGATGGCCAGCTGTACCCATTATCCGACTGAACTGAAATAGCCAACTGTCCCTATTTTCCAACTGAACTAAAATGACCAGTTGTCCCTATTTTAATTTTGCGAGGTGTAATCCTTAAGTAAATGCCATGTGTCACCACACTATTGGACTATAATTTGGTATGTTTGTATCTCTTTCATTTGTCCACGTGGATGCCAAAGTGACAGCCACTTAAGCTGCCATTTTTGTGTGTCAACAAATATAGAAGCGGGCAGATAGTCACAGAGGAAATGCATAAAAAAGGTGTTGGAATGCTGTGGTATATAAGCATCAAATCCTGTAAGTACTCCATTGGTAACCCATTTCAGACTTTCAACAGGATTATCACCACAAACTGAGGAGATGGAACCAAGATGGAGATTTATGAAGTTTGGTGTAATTCGAGCTAAGGTGGAGATTTATGCTATTGTGACCCAAAATTGGTGTCAGATCGTGTTGCGACCCATTTTGACCTTTTTTTTTTACTTGCGGGTTGTGGATCTTATTTGGTACTCTCTAATAGCCCGATATATATGGGCACTTAGGGTTTGGAGTGGGATGATTAAGCTACTAAAAATCCCAGAAAAGAGAGTGAGATTGAAAGTGAGAGCGAGAGGTAGGATTTGGGGGCTGAAACTTGTAATATCCAGATTTTTCGCATAGTGAATTTTTCGCTGGATCTTCACTATTGACGTAGGCTTTGCCAAATTACACTAAATCTTTACGTTTTTTTATGTGTATTGCGTGTTTATTTTTTATCGTGTTTCTTAATTGTTTCTTGAGTTCGTTGTGTTTACCATAACAAAAACTATTCATTGTACAAATGGAAACTTGAATCAACAAATCTTAAGGAGTCCTCTAAAAATTATTTCTACTGTCATTTTCCAAAACTACTTTTAGTGAAATGAATTATATCAAATCAAGTGAGAGTATTCCCTCAAGCACATGTCCGAAAGTGTGTTGGATAAATTTGAGCAAAATCTCACAAATCCACCACTGAGATAGAGAGACAATGTCTTAGTTTGTAATTACTAATAAGCCATCACGGTTAAAAGCACGTCAATTTTGAAATTTTAAAAAGAAGAATTAAAAAAAAAATTTAAAGGAAGGATAAGAAGAAAATTGGTTATTGACAGTACAATACATATTTTGAAGTTGCAGAATGTTTTAATTGAAACTCAAATTAAATGTTTCTCTATCTATGATTGCAAGTAGAGGTAGGAGTACATTAATGACAAGTGCTAAATGAATTCATTCTCTAAATATTAAGAAAAATAATTTGGAATTCAAAAGCCGAAGAATTCAGACTAATTCATATAATTATAGAATGATATTATCATAATATCATGGCAAAAAAGCATAAAACCCCCCTCAAGTATCAAAAATTAGCATTTTACCCCCCTAAACTACAAAATCGAGCAAGTCAGTCCCTCAAGTATCAGAAATGATCAGTTTCACCTCCGACAGTCCTTTCCGGCTCATTTCCGGTCACCGTTATTGTACATTTACAGAAATGTCCATTATAATTAACATTTTAAAAAAGGCAATTAAAATTAAAATTGGGAAATACCATCAATGCCCTCATGCTAATACATCACCTCACTCTTCCCAATTCACTTGAAAAATTTAGAGAGAGAGTAGAGAGAGAAAATGGGTAAGGGGGGGATGTCTCATGGTGGTGGTGGTGAAAAAGAGAACTTGGCAACTTGGCTTGTTAGTATCAATACCCTCAAAATTCAGCCTTCCAAGTTCCCTCCTCTGGGTATTAATCTTCTCAAACTGAATGTAACTTGCAAGATGGAGAAACTCGGTGGCACAAAACCGGCAAGACCAGGTCGGTCATGGTTAGTGGTAAACAGAAAGGGTGTAAGAAAATCCTAGTTCTCTACACAAACTTTGGCAAGAATAAAAAACCTGAAAAAACCAATTGGGTGATGCACCAATACCACTTGGGTTAACATTAAGAAGAGAAAGAAGGAAAGCTTATGGTATCAAAGATATTCTATCAAACTCAATCGAGGCAATGCAACTGGTCTGACCCATAGTTGAATAGGTGCACTCTCTCCCCGTTCTTTCTCCCTCTCTTTTATAAAGTATCTCATTAGTATAATGTTGATTCTTTGTCCAATGATGCTGTATGGTAGTGCCAGTGCCTGTGAACAGTGTGTTCCTAGACTAGTGGCTTAAAAAACATGGTTCTGCATGTCAGCAGGAAGCGCATAGTAAAATTCATCCTTGACGATAGGAGATTTAGTTATTTCGTGCCAAATCTCAAGAACCTTTGATTGCTTGAAGGAGATTCTCTATATTGGCAATGACTGCAATCTTAAACCTCTATTATAGTTTGTGGATATAGCTTAGCCCATTTGTGGTATCTAATATCAGTGGGTTTAGTAGAATGGTAGTGTCTCAGGTCTGCCAGAAACTTTGTATGCGTTGAAGTTTTTCTATAGAAGATCTATGCTCATTTTTTTGCAAAGTGGCTTATGTCGGCAAATGATACTGCAATTTTTTTGAGCTTTACTGCACATTTCTGCAAGGATTATTATACAACCCAGCAAATGATCATTCTGTGACTGGGTATTAAAATGGGTCAACATTAATAATTTCTAATTTCTACACAACATGAATAGATTTCATTCATTAACAAATCGATTGATGTGGTGCATGAGGTTTTCCAATCACAAATAGATTTAACCATCAAATTCCACTCATATAAACAGAAGTTCCACCAGATTACCTATAGATTTGAAAATATACTCTGCCCATTGGTGGTCTTTAACCATGAATATCCTAAAATGCAACCAACAAAAAAAATTCAAATGAATGGAGAGGCAAGGCTACTCCCAAGATTTTTTATGACACTGCTCAAAGGACAATCTCTGCTTATACAAAGATATCACCACACAATTGTTAAAATGGATAACATATATACGTACAGATTATATATGATAATATATATATATAAAGTACAAAAATACACACACACACACACACATATATACACCTTATTGACCTTAACTTCTTCAACTTTAATGGAGTCTTTTTTTTTTGCACTTGGAGAAGGGAGCAGTTGCAGTTGGAGGAAGAAGAAAGGAATTTTGGACTCAATTTATAAACAAGGCTACAACACTCATATTGCAAGGGCAATTTTGAAATTATATCAGAAAGTAACCTCACGCGCTCCATCTGTGTCGGAAATGAGCCGGAAAGGACTGTCAGGAGGTGAAATTGATCATTTCTGATAGTTGATGGCCTGACTTGCTCAATTTTGTAGTTCAGGGGGATAAAATGCTGATTTTTGATACTTGAGGAGGGTTTTATGCTTTTTTTTTTTTTGCCTAATATCATTAATATACATGACATCATCATCAAATGTTTAAATAATTTAAGCAAGTCTCATTGATATACCTGACAGAATGTCATATGAGCCCAAATTAAATTAGTCATATCACTACTCAAATATTAAAGGACTTTCTCTCTCTCTCTCTCTCTCTCTCTATATATATATATATATTTTTAAAAGAGGTAACAGCTTTCCAAATTCTATAACTAGGCCAAACTCACATGAATAAACAGTTATTTTTGTGTTGAATGAGGAACATTTTCCTGTGAAAATTAGAATAGAGTTTCATAAATAGTTAATTAAACCAGACAAATGTTATCACTAGAATAAAATCATCAATGCTCGTCTTCCAATGAAAATATTAGGTTTTCTAGAGTCTTATAAATGAGATGCGTTAATTCAATTACAAATAAAATTATTTGTCTAAATCCAATTTCAAGCACCAATATTAGTTTATCACATCAACTAAACTAATCAAAATTAAACCACTATTCAATTGTACCACTGTGTTCCAAATTAAACCCTTTAATTACACGTTCAACAAACTTAATTTCAGAACCAATTAAACAATTCTGGTGTCCCTTAAGCTTGAATATTCTCAAAAAGTAAATAAATGATAACAAAAATAATAATAAATTAGAGGCACGCTTATCCAGAAAACCCATTTACCCAACCTGGCAAAGCTGGGATTTTTTCTAATTTGATAACATTTTAAAATATTGTCGCCTGTCGACATTGAGCCAAACATCCAACAACCCCTTAACGACCGCAATTATGTACATAGGTATTACAATCACAACATATATACATACATATATATGTTTATATATATAATGTATGTGTGTCAGTGTGTGTCTGTCTATATTTATATAGAGAGAGAAATGTTCCCTTGAATTATCACAAGTTGGCAGCAACACAATTTCAATAAGCAAACAGTAAGAATAAGCTACCAGTAAACTCATTAAATTCTGCATCATCTTAAACATGATTAGATTAGCAAACAACTGATTTAGTTATTCACAACAATCAGGTCCAAAACTCAGGCTACTTGCAAAGAGGTGGTCACACACTAGTAGCACTTGAGATATATATATATATATACAAAAGGGTAGGAAACAATATTTTCGTGCTATTCATGGAACAATGTTAGCCTCACTCCAGAAAGAGAAGATTTGATGCCTGTTCTTTCTGCAAAACAGAACATAACTCAAACTTTCCGACTCCGAGTTCTACGAGCAATCTGCAATAAAAACAGAAGTCAACAGCTACCACCAAAAAAGCTTCAGCTGCATGTTCAACAAACTACTAGACTCAGAATTCAGGAACTACGTCCTAAGCTTTAATTAGCACGAGAGCCTCTAGGGTGTGCTCCAACAATCCATGAACTCAAAGCTCCCCATCGTCTTAAAACTTTATGAGGGAAACATCAACACTAAAAAGTAAATTTAAATACTTCTACGTAGCCACTAAAACTGCATTGGTATATTTTCCCAAAATCCCAAGTCTTCTCTTTGTTAGTTACTGCACACGGCCTGCACTGACTTCAACGTACTACTACCACATTTGTTTCAGGCCTCTATTCAATATCTCAAAATTATTTAATTTACTAATAGCAATTCCAGATAAACGAATTCTTGGGGCTCTTGTCCCGAGTTAACTATGACACTTTCAAATTTTGAATTTCGCCTGTAAACCTATAAAAAAAAATGAAGTGAAAAAAGAAAAGACAGCAGCATTTCTGGGATGAATCCTGGACTAGCATAGTAAAGAGTTGCATTGATCTCTCCAAGGTGGATAGGAGCTCTAAAAGTCCTGCCCGGTGAATTTCCTAAATACACGAGCAAGAAAAAATGAAATAGAAAGGATTGGAAGTGCTAGTCTTACTGTATCCTTATTTGCGTCGATGACTTCTGATGTTGATGTGTCTGCTGAAATTGTCAGTCTCTTCTTTTCCTTCCCTGCACCCAGAAATTCCAAATTCCCCATAAAATACCAGAATAAATGTTGGACGGAAACCAGAGCAATATTTCTTTTCTTCTACAACTTTTAAAATTAAAATGCCTAAACAGAACTAAAATCTCATATGGTTTGAGAAAGATGTAGCCTTTATTTATGTTATCCAATTGGATATTTAATTAAAATAAATTACACTATCATGGTTTTCAAAAACATTCCATCACACGAATTGATGACATAAACAGGGTAATTGCGAAAAAAATGAAAAACGCACATACTTTTTTTTTGATAAGTAAAAAAACGCACATACTGAACTATTAAACTCTTCTATTAGCAAGTTTTCAGACAACTTTTTATTTTTTTATTTTTGATAAGCAAGATTTCATTAAAGGAGCTCAAAAGGGGAGCGCTCCCAAAAGAAACAAAAGCCATCCAGGACGACACTATAACTTTAAGCTATCAACAAAATCCAAGGGACAATCCATAGAATTACAATCCCGCCCATTGACCAAAAAGAATAAAGTAAGAATATTGTCTTTAAGAGCCCACATAGGAGACTTCTCTCCCTCAAAGGATATCCTATTCCTCTCGCGCCACAAACCCCACCAAATACAAAGGGGAGTAGCCCTCCAAGCATCTCTGACTCGGATCTTCACTGTACACCATTTCCAAGTCTCTAACATGTCCACCGTGGATTCTGGAAAATCCCATGGAAGACCAAAAGCTACCAAAAGCATAGACCAAACATCCCTCGCCACCAAGTAGTGAAGAAGATGGTTGACAGATTCACCCGACTTCTTACACATACAGCACCGGTTAACCACAATTTGATGTCTCCCTCTAAGGTTGTCAAGAGTTAGGATACTTCCCAGGGTAGCAGTTCATGAGAAGAAAGCCACCTTTAGTGGAGCTTTCGTCCTCCAAATAGCTTTCCAAGGGAAAGTGGGGCCAGGAAGCTCCAACATACTGTAGTAGAAAGACCTAACCTCAAATACCCCTCTCAAAGTACCCACCCACACCATCTCGTTCACGCCCACCTTGACCACCACCTGGCAATAAGTGAAGGCTAGGAAGTCTGTAACCTCCAAAAGTTCCCAATCATAGAACTGTCAATGAAACTGCACATCCAAGTCATCCTCCCATTATCGAGACGATAATAGTCAGCAACCACAACATCTCTATTCACAACAATCCTGAAGAGCCGAGGAAACATATGAGCCAAACCCAAGTCCCCACACCATCTGTCCTCCCAAAACTTGACATTCCTTAAACTTCGAACTTTGAAACGGATGTGTTTGGAAAACTCATCCCAACCTCTCCAGATGAGTTTCCAAGAACCCATTCCTACTGGGGTTCTGGCCTCCCTAGACTGCCACCCTCCATCTCCCTCCCTATAATGACAAGAAATAACGCGCCTCCAAAGCTTAGACCTCTCTCTCCCAAATCTCCAAAGCCACTTGCCCAACAAAGCCTTATTGAACACATCTAGCCTTTGAGTTCTCAGACCCCCCCCTTTTTGATAGGGGAACACACTTTTTCTAGTTGACCAAGTGGTACTTGTACTCATCTCCCAACCCTCCCTACAAACACTTATGAATTTTATTGAGTCTTCGAAAAACTGTCATAGGCATCGGCAAAAGCGACATATAGTAGGTCGGAAGGTTTGAAAGTGTGATTTTCATAAGAGTGACCCTCCCACCTTTTAACAAGTATTTCAACTTGCAAGCCTCTTCTCAAACTGCTCAACAATCAGATCCCAAACAGAAATTCTCATCAACGAGGCTCCCAAAGGGAGTCCTAAATTAAAGATCGAAAAAGAACCAACACTACCCTTTTTGGGGAACGATCACACTTTTCCCAATACTGATCTTCAACCCATAAACAACTTGAAAACAGGCCAAAACGCATCTCAAGTACCTCAACTAGTCAACTCTAGCACCACAAAAGACAATAGTGTCATATGCAAAAAGAAGGTGGGAGATGACTAACCGATTAGGAGCTCTACCTACTGAGAATCCTTGAATGAAACCAAACTCTTCCGCTCTCCCCATTAATCGACTAAAAGCCTCCAAGACGATGATAAACAAGAAAGGGGAAAGAGGGTCCCCTTAACGTAAGTCTTGAGAGCTAGCAAAATAGCCTACTAGGGATCCATTCACAAGAACAGAGAACCGTGCAGTCGAAATGCAGAAATAGATCCACGCCTTCCACTTGTGACCAAAACCTATTCTCTTCATCAGATACATCAAGAAATCCAAGCAAACATGATCATAGGCCTTTTCGATATCCAGTTTGCACACAACCCTCGGAACACCACTTCTTGCCCTAGCCTCAATGCACTCTAGCAATCAAAACTAAATCCAGAATCTGATGCCCACAAACAAAAGCATTCTCTGAATTCGAGATCACCCCATTAAGAACTCTACTTGAATGAATGGCTAAGACTTTCACAATGATCTTATACACAGCCCCAACAAGGCCTTCACAATGGGTATAAAGTCCTTTGCCTTATTTGCTCCACCCTTTTTGGGGACAAGGGTGATGAAAGATGCATTGAGGCTCTTCGCAAAAGAACCATGCAAAAAGAAAAATCCGATTGCCTCCATCACCTCAGCCTTCACCACCTCCCAATTTTGTTAAAAGAAAGCTACGGTAAGCTCATCCAACCCTGGAGTTTTATCACCATCGCAACTCCTCAAGGCCTTCAACACCTCCTCCTCCCCAAATGGTCTCTTAAACCAATCTCTATCACCATCAGAAATTGTGGCAAAATCAGGACCATCAAGCAAAGGCCTCTAACTGGTAGTCTCCTCAAAAAGCTGCTTGTAAAAGGACACGAACCCATTCTGGATATCTTCTTCCCTAGTGACCATAACCCAATTAAAGTGAATTCTTTCGATGTGGTTCCTTCTTCTATAAGCATTGGCTAGGCGGTGAAAAAACTTCGCGTTCCACTCCCCTTCTTTAAGCCAAAGCGCTCTAGACTTCTGTCTTCAAGAGATCTCCTCCATCTCCATTATCTCTCCAAACTCATTCTTGTACGTCTCCCTTTTACCAAGGTCCCTGATGCTAAGGCCCCCCTCACCCATCTTTCCTATCCAAATCTGAAATTCCATGGAGGATTCTGTTCTTTCGCAATTTAAGGTTGTCAAACACTTCTTTATTCCAAGTCTTGATATCACCCATTAACAACCTTAAATTGGAGGACAATTTGAAACTCGGGCTGCCCCTAACTTCATAACCCGACCACCAAACCCGAACCCTTTCTTTGAAGTCCTCAACTTGAAGCCACATATTTCCAAACCGGAAAGGCGATCTCCCTCGCCTCACCCCTCCACAATCAAGAAGAATAAGAATGTGGTCCGAAGTCGCACGGGCCAAAGCCACCTAAGATACATCTGGGAACTTCTGCAAATCTCCCAAAACTAAAAATCTGTCCAACTGTGACTACGTTGGTCACTAGACCATGTGAATTGGCCTCCTTCCATCGGGAGAACAATAAGGTGATGAGAGTTAACAAAATTTGAAAACTCTGTCAAGGCCGGAGTTCAACTATCCCTTGTGGATGGGCAAACGAACAACATTGAAGTCTCCCACTATACACCACGGAGCAGACCATATGGATTTAGCAAACCCCAACTCCTCCCACAATCCTCCCCTTTCAACATCCCCTCTACCCATACACTCTGGAAAAGACCCTGAGAACCCTCTTCCTCTAGCAAAAACAACAGAGATAGAGTACCTCCCTTTACACAAGTTAGCCTTCGAAACCCACCTTTTATCCCGAAGGACCACAATACCCCCAGCAGTCCCCTCGGCATCAATCACCTCCCAATCAACAAACCTACCTCCCCACAGACTTTTCACAACTTGATTTGAAGAGATAACCAATTTAGACTCCTGCAAACAGACCACATGCACCCCCCATTTTCGGATAAGAGCGTTCACCACCTTCCTTTTGCTCGGGTCGTTTAAACTCCGAACATTCCAAGACACAACTTTGAGCTTCATATACACACAATGGCTTTCCCTCTCCCCTCCTCTCACCCCTTTCTCCACTTCTCCCTTCATAGTTAACGTAAGAAATCAGGTTCTTGAGTTCTCTCCCCCCTTCTAACAAGGACTTTTCGTATGCTTCACTAACGCCCACTCATCATCAACTACTTGGAACATGTCATGAGTTTGCTCCTCCCCAGCACATGAAAAACCCAAAAGCTTAATGGTCCCTCCGATGCACTCCATAAACACTCCCCATTACTGCCTTCCAAATTGGCAGCCCTCTGCACCTCTCTGATGGCTGCCAATGGAGTATCAATCCCAATAGTGCCCCCATTCTCCCACACTGGTGGTGGAGGTCCAACACAGAGTAAAAACAATCAACCACAGTCGAAGCATCAATATCAGATAACATAGACCCACCATCTGGATCCAAAGCATCAAATGTGCACAAAACTCTGCCCTGTTCTGCATTCCCAAAATTCAGCAAACTCGGCTCAATAGCACCCGACATAGTCCCAGTCCAATGAAGCTTCAAATTAGATCTCAAAGCTTTGGCGGTCCTACAATCGATCAACAATTGAGTCCCTCGGCCAACACACACAATAACATTCCCATCATCCTTGCCACTTGGGAGAAACTTCAGCGGCCATTCCTTGTCTACCTCACTGCTAGTCTCAAAAGATGAAACTCTCCCTGTGAAATCTGAAAATCAGACGCCCTGCCATCATCCTCAAGCATACCTTTGGAACCCACTTCAGAAATTGGCGGCAACCTTTGGAAATTCGTAGCCAAACCACCATCCACCTTCTCATCATCCCTCCTCAATACCCCACAAGGAGTAGGAGTAGAGAGAGGAGAGCTTTAAAGAAAGATCAGAACGCATACCCGGGTTATGGACCACATTGGTGGACTTTACCCACTTTTGTTTCTGCATCCGAAACCATTTCCGCTTTTTCAATCAGAAATGACTATTCTGAAAGTGGCTCGGTCTATGAATCAGATCGTCGGAGGGGCCTGCATCGCCGCCATTTCTTCTCTGACTCGAAGAAGGCAACAAATCAGAACTTCCTAATGAGCCACCCAAGGAATGAACATCACCATCACCTGGGTTAAGCCCATCTTGCAGACACCCAAAAGAATTACCCAGGACAGGCCTAAAAGAGCGATCCTTTAAAGCCCAAGAAGACGAAAAATCCTTGGGCCTCCTTTGTGGGAGGGAAGGATGGGCTTTGGGCCTCCTATCTGGCCAGTAGTGACAAAAGGAACCGTGAAGAAAGTTTTTGAATAGGGAATTCTATATTTCCTTCACCGTTTACAGATTGTAGAAGGCCTACATATACAAGAAAGGATAGCTACACTTTAGGCTATAAATAAGGAAAAAAATAAATTTACAAAGTCAAAGATTTGCAGCTGTACAAACAGCTGGAATCAGAGACTAAAATGGGAAGGAATCATTCCAATTTATTCAGGGAATAATTTTGAATAAATTGGATCCGAATCCTAGGTCAACCGCGCCTAGAATCCCAGATTTTATGGTGATCTGTTTTTCCACAAGATCATCAAAGCCTTGGCCCAAAATCTGTCTGGCCTAAACTATTACGAAAGCTTCTATTCGCATGTTCGGAAGAGGCTTGGATAGCATGCAGTCCAAACGAGAGCACCCCTTCCCTAAAGGGTATAAGAACATTTGAGCCACTATGACGCCCATAAGGCCCAGCCCAAGAGGAAGAGGCAAAAAATCCATGTCTCACCCCTTCGCTTAAGTGGTCACATGCCATCAATTTGAAATTAAAAACAATCAGGTTGCTTATCCCTGATCTTATCAAAGGAAACGTAATCCACGGGAGCCATTGCCAACCATGTGTCCCCTCTCCTTCTCCACAGGAGCCACGCACTAACCGCATGTGGTGACCACTCCATCGTCTTCGATCGTAGCCATGGTCATTAGCTTACAACTTTAAACCATCCCTCCACGTATGAAACTCCTCAACGCTTTTCAAACCCATCGACTGCATGATCCACTAATCCATTTCTTTCAACAGATGGGAATTATCACCTCCCTCCAAACTCTCCGTCGTTGGCACCAATTCAGAATAAGGTTCCTCCCACACAGCCACTTTATAACATAGCCTTTCATCATGGACGAAGACCACCGGCGGGCACTCAAATCCATCTCTAACCAGAATGCGAACAATCTTGGCATCCTGCATCTCATCAGCTTCCACCCATACAAAACCGCCACAAAGATCCCCAACCGTCAAAAAAAGAGCTGTGACACCATAGATGCAAAGGAAGACCATACACCATCAACCTTTTCAAGCCTTTCTCCCTCAGCATCTCCGAGCAGCCCACCTTGAAATACCAAGCATCCACTCGTAACGTAGCGCCACCCCAATCAGGACACCCTTTCCTCAGCACTCATCTGGCCTCTGCTTGAGAAGGAAGCCGAAAGAGGAGAGAGTCTGGAAGTGGTGACACTCCGACCCCACATGAGATATTCCATGCCCAGCCAGCCCATTCAGTTATCTGACCACAATTATCAACTTCTTTGTAAACAAACCCATCAAACACGCCTCCAGCGCCTCCCTTCATCTCCTACAGATGCGTCGTCTAGATAAATCGAAGGACCTTTGAATGGATTTGCAGCCTGAACAGTGCCGCCCTAATTGATTCGAGGAAACCTAGCAATCTCCAAAAAGGATTTCGAAACCATACCCAGAAGAAAGAAAAAAGATGCTCTGTGCCCTTCCTATTATGTTACGTGAGAGAACTAATTTCATGTTGAATGAAATCAGACCTTAATGCCTGACTTGACAATAAACTACGAGGGCCAATCAATGCGATACATTTTCCAACAGAAAGTTAAACTAGAACTCCACCAAAGCAATTTTTAAGAATACAAATAAACTTAATGAAATACAAAGATAATTGTTAGGCGCTGAATGTTACACATTTTAGCCCCTTAACTTGCATGTCTTATTCAGTTTGTAGTAGTTTATTTTAGATTTTACATTGTTTTATTGTTTTTATTTATTTCAGGGCTTTAATTGTAAAATCAGTCAAGACCAGTGATTTTGAGCTTTAAAAGATGACATTCCGTGGGACCGAGCAATATTGAAGATCCAAGTCTAATTATAAAATATTGCAAAAGAAGCCACAAGTTGATGAGAATGGGAAGAAGAAGAAAAGGAAAACTCCTTCTCCAAAAAAGAAACTTTCGCCAAAGTTGGTAACTTGAACCCGTTTTAGTAATCTGGCTGTATCTCTCTCCTCGAGTGTCAAAACGGCTAAATTCTCGCATGGGTTGAAAGGAAATTCGAAGAGCTACAATTTTGTATTTCACGAGGATTCCCTAAAACAGCTGTTTACCTTGTAAAAATTGGCCTAGAAGTCTGTACGAATTTTGGAGTCCTTATTTGCCAGAATTTCTATGTATGTCTCCTATATGAAAAAGGGAACTTTAGGGCTGATCTTTTATTATTTAAAGGGGGTCCTCTACAACATTGAAGGATCATATAGAGGAGCTTGAGGCTGAGATCAGAGAGGAGCAGAAGAAAGAAGAGATCGATCCATGGCGGTGAAGATGTTTTCCTCAACCATGAAGAATTCCACTCCAATCATGCTTGGCTAAACGCTTTGCTAGGGTTGTGATGTAGCCCTAGCTTAGCACCCTGGTTTGATTGTATTTAATTATTGGAGAATAATTTTTATCATGCATGATTATGTAATCTATAGGGTTTTTGATTGAATTTTTAATAAGAATTGGTTTTAAAGTTTTAATTCAATTACAAATATTTTTCTATCTTGTCTTAGATATTTTAATCTTGTGATTGAACATAACTCATTCGCTTCTTGTAGTTGTGAATGAGATGATTACACAGTGGTATTTCTCTGAATATAATGTTAGAGATTTAATGGATTATGCCTAGAAAAGATAGATCATGTTACACCCTAGAGTAAAGTAGATAGGTAGATGGTTTATACCAATCGAAGATAGGTATTATATTATTATATTATTTTCTAGCTGAATTAATATGCGCTTGTAGCCATAATTAATTCCTTGTGCATGTTATATGATATATCTCCAATAAATTGATGCAATTGACTGGTGGTGCGACGTTAGTAGTGAAATCATACCCCTAGTCCTCTCTTTCTATTTTCTACATCATATTTGATCATCGTTCTTTAGTTTATTTTATTTTTCTACTTAGTTAATTTAGAATTAATCATCACAATTCGATTATCCTACTTTCAAGTTAATTTTGGAATTTAAGAAATCTGTTGACAAACTTAATTTACACAAGTCCCTTGGGTACGACACCCTTACAAGTAAACCCTATCTGCAAATATTCGTGCACTTGCGAGTGGTACATATAAATCTCACAACAATAATCTCAAACAGACTTGTTTTCATGACCTATTGACTCCTTTGAATGGAACATATAATAAACATTTCATTTGACAGTAAACTATAAATGATGACTAATAATTTGGTAGATTGTGCAACAAATGACAAAATGAAAACTCAAACAAAGTTCACACACATGCAAACAAAAGAAGAGTAATAAAATAGAGCAAGGATGAACAGATGCCAGTTTCAGCTGGGTAAGCTGCTGTCCAGTAGAAGGTGAAAGGAGTTCTATAACTATAACTCTCAATCCGATATAAAAACAAAGAAATGAAGAATAAGAGTATCTCAAGGTAAATAATTCACAATAATAAATTCTGTATTGGTAAATGCCAACCCACTCACTCTCCCTTGCTTCTAAACAAAATGTCGGAACCATGATTGTTGTGTTCAATGACTAAAGACTTCTACCTGACCTAAAACTGCATGTTTTTGTCACCAGCGAATCTAGAGAAGAACTTGCAATTCTAAAAAATGGATATAGATTCTTACCAGGCACAGGAATCCTTCTATTGAGAAAATTTGCCCTTCCCTTTTTTGGAAAATTTTCTTTCTGGGGAACATCACATATAAATTCATCAACCATTTCCCTTTGACCACTATGAGAGGAGTGCTCCCCAGAATTACTGCAACAACCCATGGGAGATCTCATATTAGAGAAACAAAACTAATATCACATGAAAACAGCAAAAAAGTGATCATTTCTCAATAAAGAAACAATTTTGTTGTTTAAGTCCTACATATACTTTGCAAAATAATATTATTTAGTCACTTTGGGGGTCAATCGCTAAATAAAATTTCCCTCTGTATCATGTTTGTCACCCAAAGCACCTTACCATTTAAGAAAATTAAGGATGGCTCAATATACAAATATACAGCGCCCTGCAGGATTACTCACTGCAAAATATCATTTCCATGGTAATTATCAAGTACGTAACATCATATGTTGCATTGTCAACTAGGAAAAAAATAAATAAATAAAAATAAAATGTTGCATTGTCACAAGGTATAAATGCTACTCTTGATATTTTAAATTGTGAAAAACCAAAATTGGCGAGACATCTAGCTAAATGGTTAGAAGCAGTTATTTACGATATCCCAAAGCATACAACCTCATTCTTCAAGACCCCAGCCCCAGGAAAGCACTGAAGACGATTCATAAAAGCAAGATTCCCCAGGCACTCACTTCTTGACGTGATTTACAAGTGCAAGATGCACATTTTAAGACACTCCGAGAGTTCTTGTGTCAGAAATGAGTACCTCCTTTAATTGCATTCAACTAACTTGGTAAAACCTTTACGGTGTCATTTTCCATCGAGTGTAATGCATACATACTGTTTAACCAGATTCAAAGTTGTAAGTAATCCAGTGAAGCATCCCCACCACTCTTGAGAACACCACAAAGAGCATTAACAAAAAGTAGTGAGCCTGTCACAATAGTGAGCAAGGATTTTTATTTTTATTTTGTGTGTGCGTGTGGGGGGGGGGGGGGGGGGGGGGGGGGGGGGGGGGGGGGTTGGACCTTTGGTACTTTTTCCATTTTATTTCAGTGAGTTTATGAGAAGCGTAACTTGTTAGAAAATTTGTGTGAATAAAACTTGCCTGCAACTAGTTCCTTTAACGTATTTTCTGTTGGGAAATTGCATAACAGACTTTGGTTGTCCATGTATATCACGTTAGACCAGCAACGTGAACGTGACTTTGGTTGTCCATGTATATCACATTAGACCAGCAACATGAATATCGATTACATACAGAGTCACGTACGTTAATATATCACACTTGTAGGCTAAAAGACATGTCTATTTGTATATGGCCGTTGTAAGGCTGAAACAATGCAACCTTTGGAACCATTGCATTTAATGGCTATTCAGGCCTTACAACTGGAACACTGCAATCTTTGGAACCAGTGCGTTGGACTGTTGGTGACTGTTGAAGGATAAACCGTTACATGAAGATTAGGTGCAACATAGTAGTTAGAGCCAAATGGGTGTGACCCATGATCGTTCACTGCAATGGTTGTACCTCATAGACTGAACCAATGTGACTAACGACTGTTCAGGTTGACATGAAGAGTCAGCAAGCCCTCTATAAATTACCCATGATCCCCAATTGGAAATTCACTCCTAGAAACACTATGAATTTCTCTCCTCTCTCCCAACAACACTTGAACTCAGGTGGGTTCAAGCCAAGGGTTATGTGGTCTCAACCACATAGACCCAAATCCAATTGTTCTAGCCATATGGTCAATTGGTCCTAGCCAAGAGGCTAGGATGAAGCCATTTCATTATTTCACTAGTAGAGGTGCATTTCTAAGTGAATTAAGAGAGAGTATTACACAGAGCAGGTTCGTTGGATCCTTTGGTTTGGAGTGCTACTACTGGTGGATGAAAGACCGTTATATCCTAGGAGACAAGCGCCATGCAAACCGTTCAGCACCATCTGGGGCGTGATTGTCTTAAGGACATAGTATCAAATACTAGCCTCAGTCTAGGTTCTTTATTTAATTAATTTATTTAATTGCTTTGATTTGCATGCTTAATTAAATATTCTTAGTGAAATATTTAATTAATTAATTATTAGCATATTATTAAATATCTAACAAGTATATTAGTATAAGGTTTGTAATATCTTAAATGTCACATAAAACATATATTTTCCAACATAATTTTCCCTCTCCCATTAAAATACTCAAAGAAACAATTTAGATGTAAGAGTATCTGCATAATTTGCAAATGATATACCTATAACTGTTTCAATTTCCATTTTCTGGTAGCTTACTGTAAGATTTATTTACTACTGTTAACAAACTTATTCTTTCTTTCTTAAGATACATTTTATCAGGTGCCAATTTTACATTTTTACCAAAATCACATCAAATATCAGGATATGCATTAATTTGGCAACTTTGGTACAGTATTGGAATTTTTCCTCCAAGTCAAAGAGAGGAAAGGATTTCAGCCCGATAATTGGTGATCAATAAAAAGCATGCCCAGACTCATAAAAGCTAAAAAGGGCAAGAAGACTATGGGCAACTTTTTCCTAGTATGTCAGATATGACATGAGAACATTTATACATGAATGGACATGCTCTTAGATGTGAGCAAAATTCAAGGCCATAAATCAGCCTTATAAAAGTATTAACAATAGAGTGCTAAGAATGTGATGCGATTAAAGAAACAAATTCATAAATTGTATGAGTGCGTTTTGGAACTTGTGTAACCAAGTTTTGGGTTGAATCATGTCTTATTTTATATGTACTTCAACAGTATGCCTCAGCTCACCTCACTTAAGACTTGTACTTTTTAGGAGTCAATTGTAATTTTTGATGTTTTTAACAAATGTTGGACATTAGCCATAATACTGATCCATGGGTCATATATTGAATCTAGTTATGCCATTCGGTCCTCACAACTTGTCTTTGGTATCATCATCATCATCATTCTTGCTTGCTTTTATCCCATATGATGGGGTAGCCACATAAATTCTCTTTCTCCATCTTTTCTATTACATGTCATTTCTCCTTTTATATTTAATTCTTTAAAATCATTTCTAATAACTCCATCCCATGTTAGGTTTGGTCAATCTCTAGGTTTGGTCAATCTCTATCTCTTACCTTACAAGCTATCTCAGAAATGAACAGCCTGAATAGTTAAAGCAAAATTCCCTATTTTGGAGCTCTAGTCTTTATCAAAGTAGGAAAAGTCTACTGGCTAATAATCATATTGTTGGAAATCATATCTATAAGTTGACTCAATGATTGTGGCAGATTTATTGGGTCTTCATTATAGGCTAATGTTTAGGGATTTTATTTTTATTCTAATTTGATTTTATTCTCTTTATTTTGATTTGATCTTATTCTCTTTTCTATATTTGTAATTTTCCTCTTATATATAATGATAGTCAGGCTCTCAAATTGAGTACGCCAATTTTACGAAGTTACTTTTTCGTATCAGAGCCTCAAACCTTTGCATCCCCCCTCTCTCCTTTCACCGCCTCTTTTGATCTCTCTCTCTATCTCGTCACAGCCATTTCCCTATTTCTTTTTCCCTTTTTTTCACAGACCCTCTCTCTTCTTCAGACCGTTGTTGCGATAGTCCTAGGGGGAGCCAATCTCCTCTGGGTTCGACCCCTGTAGGGGTATTCCCTTAGTCTTTTTCATGCACTAAGGGTCAGAAGACGTGTTTGTAACTTTTTAGGATTGCCGGGATATTCGGCAGCATTTTCGGATCAGACCACCGTGTCTCTGGCTTCTTGGTTTGATCAAAAGCAAGTTTATTCCTCCTTTATTTGAAATTATTGGTGATCTGTTGAATTGTTCTATTTAATATTATGGCTGAATCAAGTAATAATAAAGAAACTCTCTTTTTGGCGCAACACACACCGGCTCAACGAGTTACTAGTGTGCTATTGAATGGCCGTAATTTTGCATCTTGGGCTCGTTCCCTCCGCCTCTATGTTGGTGGAAAAGGCAAATCAGGGTGAATTTTGGGTACTGAAAAGATGCCAGATATTAAAGATCCTAAATATGCTCAGTGGGATATGGACAATTGCACCATTTTAGGATGAATGTTTAATTCTATGGAGAAACACATTTATAGTATATTCATGTTTTATGACTCTGTTAATGACTTGTGGATTACTTTGAATCAAATGTATGCTCATTCTAGGAATGATGCTCGTATTTTTGAATTATATCAAGATATTGCTAAGGCCTCACAGGAAAGCCTCACAGGAAGGCCTGAATTTGTCTGTAGCTGATTACTTTGGGTATTTGAGATCTCGTTGGGAAGAACTAGCTCAATATGAGCCTCTTAGTGAATTTCCTTCCGAGGCAACCTCTCTTCTTGTCAAACGTCTTGATCATTAGCATACCTATCAGTTTTTTATGGGATTACGCCCAGAATTTGAACCACTAAAGTCTCAGATCTTGAATGCATACCAATGCCATTCCTATTGGAAGCCTTTGCTACTGTTGATGGTGAAGCACGCAGGCACCATTTAATTCAACCCTCACTTGTTCCTCTACCAGTGTTTGAGCCTGCTAGGGATAGTATGGCTTTTGCAGCCAACTTTGGATCACGTGCTTCTGGAGGTCAGATTATTTGTCACCATTGTGGAGGGGTTGGACATGTTAAGGCTCGTTGCTTCAAACTTCATCCTGAACTGAAGCAGAAATTTTCTAGGAACCGTTTATCTAGAACTGGTTCTTCTCGTACTGCGGCAGCTGCAGGGACTCCTGTTACTACTGGTGAATCTACCGTATTTCCTGGACTGAGCTAGCTTTAGTCTCAAATTGGGCAGATCCAGGACCAGCTCGGCTCCCTTGCTTCTAGAGTTGGTTCTCCTTCAGCTGCTCCCACTGCCACTATTGTTACAGGTACTCCTACTGCATTTCATGTTAAGGCCAAGCAACCCACTTGGGTTCTGGATTCTGGGGCCAATGATCACATTACTGGTGAGTTATCAATTTTTTCTTCCAATGTCATACCTGTTACCTAATCTGTGTATCTTGTGGATGGCTCTACATCTTACATTCACAGTAAGGGTGATGTTTGTCTGTCTCCTGATATTACTCTTTCATTTGTCCTTCATGTACCTAAATTTGCCTTTAACCTTTTATCTGTTAGCTGGCTTGCAAAAAACCTCCAATGTGCAGTTATATTCTTACCAGATCAATGTTTTTTGCAGGACCTTTGTTCGAAGAGGATTTTTGACAGGGGTTATGAGCGTGATGGGCTTTACTACTTTGGGGAACCACTAGGAATGAGTCTTCAAGCTTCTGTCCTACCTACTTCTAGTGTTTATGATGTTTCTTTTCGCACTTTTAGTCTGTGGCATGCACGTTTGGGGCATGTAAACTTTTAGTATCTTTGTCTATTGTTTCCTTCGTTAAATAAAGCATGTAAGGACCATAAGTTTCAATGTGAAGTTTGTGAGCTTTCTAAACATACTAGAACTAGCTATATTTCTCATATGAGTCGTGCTCCTAGTATGTTTGATCTAATTCATTCTGATGTCTGGGGCCTTCCCTAGTTACTGCTTTTTCTGGACATGATATTATGTGACATTTATTGATGATTATTCTCGTTGTACTTGGGTTTATTTATTGAAAAAGATATTTGATGTGTTTCTTTTATTTACCCAGTTTCTTCAAATGATCAAAACCATGGTTATCAAAATCGCGATTCTGAGTCGTAGAATCACACGATTCTACGGTTCAGAACTCAAAATCGATCCAAATCTAAGCAAAATCGCTCAATTGGTAGAATCGGGGTAGAATCGGTAGAATCGTTGGTAGAATCGCACGATTCTATGCGATTCCATCGATTCTACTTGATTTCTTGTTTGAGAACTTTTTTTGGTGGTTGGTTCCTTCTTTTGATGGATGGGATACAAAATAAGAAAGCATCTTGCAAAGGGACACGATTAGAAGCTCACCTAGCTATGAAGGAATGGGAAAATGGCTTCGCTGCGTCTTAACCGCCACCTAAACCATTGGACTAAGTGATGATGATATATGGGAGGCATCTTTCTTTTCTTTTTTCTGGTTGCCGACAAGCATGTGGTAGTTTCCATCGCTGTTGTCTGCCTCCTCTCATCTGTTCTTTTGGTGAAATATTCCATCGTTGTTGGCTGCTGCCTCCCTCTCAGGCTCTCACCTATTCTTTTGGTGGAGGATTGCTAGGGTTGCTAGGCCTCACAATAAGTGGGCTTAAGGTTGTGGCTCATGTTACCTGGTTGTTTGGATTTCTTTGGCTTTGGGCCAGCTTTGGCCCATGCTGAACAATGTAATTATTGTTTTTCTTTATATAAAATTTGCTTAACATTCCAAAATTAAAAAAAGAAAAAGAAAAGTCACTCTTAAAGATTTATCTTGCACGGCATCATTATCCTCCTCTAGAACTGATTTGTATATTTTTTTGGGGGCCTTTGGAAAGTTTGCTTCAGCCCAAGCTGTAGCTCATGTACATTATCAATGTCTAGAATATTTCAGGGAAAAAAGCCACTGATTTGTATTTTTTTTGGGGCCTTTGGGCCAGTTTGCTTCAACCGAAACGGTAGCTTATATACATATATGTCTTTATTATTTATAAAACTTTTATAACCTTCCACCAAAAAAAATGCCCATCACACTTTGGTTGGAATTATTTTTCCATTCTGATTTTTATTTTATATTATATTCAAACTTTAGAATTATTATTATTATTATTATTATTATTATTGGTATTTAGGCCTTATTATGGCTATATTTTACACATATTATTGTTTAAGTAACTAATTTTAATTATTTTTTTTACATTTTGGTAGAATCTTACGATTTACGATCCAATTCTACGATTCCGATTCTACGGAGTCCAAAACGATTTTACTTAAAATCCCGATTTTAACAACCTTGATCAAAACCCAGTATAACACTGTTGTCCGTCATATTCGTTCTGATAATGGACATGAATATGTTTCAAATGAGTTCCGGACTGAACTTAATAAAAAGGGGATTTTACATCAACTCACTTGCCCCTACACTCCTAAGCAAAATGGCGTAGCTGAACGCAAAAGCCATCATCTTATGTCTGTGGTTCGATGTCTTTTGAGTGGTATGCATGTGCCTAAATTCTATTGGCACATGGCTGTTCTTACTGCTGCTTTTCTCATTAATCGTACTCCCAGTCGAGTTTTAGGTGGTAAGGCCCCACTTCAGATTCTCCAGCCTGATTATACATTGTTTCACTTTCTGCCTCGTGTTTTCGGCTGTACTTGTTTTGTTCATAACCGTAGTCCTTCTCGTCATAAACTTGATGATAAATCAATTAGGTGTATTTTCTTGGGGTATTCTGCTATGTCAAAGGGCTATCGTTGTTATGATCCTGTGGCCAAACATATGTATCATTCTTTTGATGTTACATTTCATGAAACTGTTCATTTTTATAGTACTAATTCTGTGGTACAGGATTCTCTCTCTTGTGGTCTGGAGAAGGAGATTTCTCCTATTGCCCATCCTGTTCCTCTCTTTGAAAATCACACTGTCCCGGAATCTCCTTCTTCATCCATGCAGGGTTCCCCTCCACCTTTGCAGGTCTACTCTTGTCGCCATCGCACTCAACCTCCCCTGCCAGAATCAGGTCCAGGTAACTCTCCTTCTCCTATGGCTCCTACCATTCCTGAGCATACCTCCCATTATCTTACCCGTGATTGTCACCCTCCTAATTGGTATGGTTTCTCTAGTAGCACTAATCACCCTATTTCCCAGTATGTCTCTTATGATGGTCTTTCAGGTGCATATAAATCCTTCCTGGGCAAGATTGGGACCGTTTCTATTCCTCGATCAGTGTCAGAGGCCCTCCAGGATCCCAATTGGGTGTCTGCAATGACAACAAAAATGGATGCTTTACAACATAATAATACATGGGAACTTGATGCTTTACCTGCTGGGGAGAAAACGGTTGGCTGCAAATGGGTCTTTAATGTGAAGTACTAAGCCGATGGTTCTATTGATCGGTATAAGGCTCGGTTGGTGGCAAAAGGCTTTACTCAGATTCCGGGTAAAGACTTTGGTACTACCTTTGCTCCTGTGGCAAAGTTGACGTCTGTACGTTTCTTATCGCCTTGTCCGCGGCCCATTCTTGGCCTCTGCATCAGTTAGATGTCAAGAATGCATTTCTTAATGGAGGACTTACTTGAGACTATATATATGGATCCACCCCCTGGATTTCGGGCTGAGGGGGAGTACGCTGGGAAAGTCTGTTGGCTACGGAAGTCTCTTTATGGTCTGAAGCAATCTCCTAGAGCTTGGTTTAGTCGTTTCAGCGATGTTGTTCTATCCATGGGCTTTGTGCGCTGCCACTCAGACCATACTTGCTTTATTCGATGTCGCTATGATGGTCGCTGCATTATGTTATTGGTATATGTGCATGATATCATTATCACAGGTGATGATGCTTCAGGGATTGCTCAGGCGAAACTTCATCTTCAAAAGTCCTTTGATGTGAAGGACTTAGGTCCTCTTCGATATTTTCTTGGAATTGAGGTTGCTAGATCCCGTCATGGAATTACTTTATCTCAAAGGAAATATGTTTTGGATCTTCTTCAAGATACTGGCATGCTTGGGGGTTGACCCGCTTCCACTCCTATGGACTCCAATCTCAAACTCTCTGTTGAGTCAGGGGAATTACTTCCAGATCCATCAGTGTATCAACGTTTAGTAAGTCGTCTTATCTACTTGACTTACAAGGCCCGATTTGACATTTGCTGTTCGTGTGGTTAGTCAATTCATGCATGCCCCTTGCTCAGCTCGTATGGATGCAGACTACCATATTTTGAGGTATCTTAAGTCATGCCCTGGTCTAGGTCTATTCTATGCCTTACCAAATCAGTCTGGACTCTCATGCTTTACTGATGCAGACTATGCTGGTTGTAAGACAGATAGACGTTTTACCTCTGCCTTCTGTACTTTCTATGGTAATCATCTCATATTATGGAAGAGTAAGAAGCAAGCTGTTGTCTCCAGATCCTCTGCTGAAGCTAAATACCGAGCTATGACTCAAGGTACTTGTGAGCTCCTTTGGCTTCAATCAATTTTGGGAGAGTTGGGTCTTGTAGAGAAAGGTTCTTCAAGGCTGTTTTGTGACAATAAATCAACCATTATGCTTGCTTCCGATTCTGTTTTGCATGAAAGGTCGAAACATATTGAGGTAGACATTCACTTTATTCGAGAGAAGGTTCGATCAGGTATCATTAATTTTATTTTTGTTCCCTCTTCAAAACAGACTGCAGATGTGTTCACAAAATCTGTTAGGCCTTCTCTTCTCCAGTCTTCCATAGTCGAGCTGGGCTTGGTCAACATATTTGCTCCAGCTTGAAGGGGAGTGTTGGAAATCATATCTATAAGTTGACTCAATGATTGTGGCAGATTTATTGAGTCTTCATTATAGGTTAATGTTTAGGGATTTTATTTTATTTTGATTTGATTTTATTCTCTTTATTCTGATTTGATTTTATTCTCTTTTCCATATTTGTAATTTTCCTCTTGTATATAATGATAGTCAGGCACTCAAATTGAGTACGCCAATTTTACCAAGTTACTTTTCATATATATAATCTTTTAATTGAACGGATTTGAGTTTTAAAGAACTAAATATTGTTATGATGTGCAATATAATTTAGGGGTAAAGCCTAGGCAATTCTAGATAAAATTCATAAAAGATTCTTGCTCCTTCATTTGAAATGTCAATGAACAGGTATCACGTACATACCAAGGATTATATATTTACCAAGATTTCTACAAAAAAATGCCTGACAACTGTTCAAATAGGAGAAAATTAAAGATAATAACAACTCACCAGTACAGTGAACAGATAGCATTTGAATCCTGCATCAATATTACATCCATGTTAGCAACAGACTATAAAAATGAAATGCCATAGGATCAACCAATTTTTTTCCTTTAAGAATTGGCCATTCAGGGAAATGAAACATAAAAAATAAAAAGAACATTGTGAAATTGGATTCTAGATCACAAGAAAGGAAATTATTCTCCTCTTTTGGTTACTTTTTAGATAATTGTGTAAACTAATAGTAGAAAAAAGGTATTTTCCGAATTAACATCTGCATGATTTAGTTTGTTTAACTTTTACAGAAAATATGATGAATATATTACAAAAATGGGCAACCATGTTCTGGTTTGCCATGGCAAGTCAAGACTTGAGACAGACCTAACATTTGGTAATTCACAAAGTGGTTGCTCTAAGATGTGATGAAATTTGAAACACACAAATTTAAGGGCATTCTAGGTTATTGTGGAAAGAGCAATATGTATAGTTCACTTCATGAATGGGAGTTATTTGGTCTTTCAATTGAGTTACTTTAAATATATATGGAAAGATTGAAAGTATCCCAGGGTATTAAAATGACCAGACATTTAAACCATCACGAAAAATGCATGTGTGAATTTTTTTTCAACTTGCTTAGTTTTTTTTTTTTTTTTTTTTTTTTTTTTGATAAGTAAGATTGTACTCATCAAATGGGGAATGCAGCCCAATGAAACAAAAGAAGTGCCAAATAGGGTCCCTAATCTCTTAGTATGTCCAATAAATCAACTATCTCCCCCATGGATTTACAACCCGTCTCGGCAACCCACTAAAAAAGAGAACTAAGAATAGAAAATTTCAGCACCCTAATAGGAGTCTCCTCACCGTCAAAGGACGTCCTATTGCGTTCTCTCCATAAGCCCCACCAAAGACACAAGGGTGCCACCCTCCAAAAGACACGGGCTTAGGAGCCCACTATACTACCTCTCCAAGCCTCAATCAAACCTATCAAAGTCTGAGGCATAACACATTTGACCCCAAAGAAAGACAAAAACAAACCCCATCTATCCCTAGTAACCGGGTTATGCAACAAAAGATTATCAATCGTCTCTTCATCCCTCTTACACACACACACACACACATATATTGTTTTTGATAAGTAAGAATATATTAGAAAGCATTCAAAAGGGGAACGCATCCCGGAAGTTATACAAGGGCTGAAGCCAAAGAAGAGGTCCTAAGGACCCAAAGAGCCAAAAATATCATCAATCTCCTCTATAGATTTACAACTTCTCCCCATCACTCAACTAAAAAGAGAACAAATAATAAGAAATTTGAAAGCCCTAGAGGAAGATTCCTCCCCGTCAAAAGAAGATCTATTCCGCTCCCTTCCAAATGCACCACCAAACATCAAAGGGGGCAGCCCTCCAAAAATCACGAGCATGGGCTCCGACTGAGTAGCCTCTCCAAGCGTCAATCAAACAAGAATAATTTTTCTCCATTGATTCATCTAGTAACACCAAATCTTCAATAATAGGAAACAACATCAATTACTCAAAGATTTTCCTCTACTGATTCCTCCATTAAATCTTTAATAATCCCGAAAAAAGTCCATCTAAAGCCATTGTTAGCATATACGATATCCACGATTTATGATTCCTTCCACTTTTGGAAGGATCCAGATGGTGCAGTTTTATATGCAGGGATTGTGGAGAAGAATCGAGTGTTTCAGTTTCTTGCAGGGTTGAACGACAAGTTTGAGTATGCTTGTGTTCATTTATTGGGCTTATCTTCATTCCCTACTCTTAAGGATGCATACTCCTATGTGTTATCAGATGAGAGCCGTCGGACTCATCCATTAAGTGTTACTTCTGTTGATCATTCTGCTATGGCAGTTCGGGTTCCCAACCTTTCAGGAACTGCACCATCCTAGTCAGTTCAGAGCTCTATCACCAATCCTCCTCTGGGACGACAATGCAGACGGTGTGACCATTGCGGAAAAATTGGTCACATCAAATCTTGTTGTTATGCTCTACATGGACGCCCACCACAACAGAAACTACAGCTTCAATCTTCTGCACATTTTGTTACACAAACAGTCTAGTTGTCAACTCCTGACAACTTTGCCTCTACATCTTCTACCACAGTTACCTTGACTCAAACTGATTTGGACAAGTTCAAACAATTCTTCAACCAAATGGAGGCATCATCTCAGCCAACCTCCATTTATGCCCACTTAGGTACTATTGCGTCGGCACATAGCATATCTACATCTTCGACACCATGGATCATTGATTCTGGTGCTTCAAACAATATAACTGGTATGTCCTCATTCTTCCAATCTTATAGTATCTGACAAAATTATAGAAATTGGTAATCGAATCAATTGATTAAAGAATTGGGAAGTTATATGTACATTAGAATAATGCTATTCTAGGAAACTAACTAATCTTGGAGATACATATCAAAAACTGATCCCTAGAAATCAAGGATTACAATAACTAAAAAATCCCTAGCTATTAACAACCTTTACACAGTTTCCTTATACAAGGAAAGAATCGTATTTTCCCACACTCCCTCTCAAACTGGTGAATGGATGTCATCCATTCCAAGCTTGCTGGTTATTCTCTGAAAAATGATACCAGGCAATCCTTTGGTAAGCACGTCTGCTAGCTATTCTCCAGTAGGAACAAAAGGAGTACAAATGAGGCCACTGTCCAACTTCTATTTAATAAAATGCCTGTCCACTTCAATGTGTTTTGTGCGGTCATGTTGCAAAGGATTGTGTGCAATATTGATGGCTGATTTATTATCATAGTAAAGCTTCATTGGACCTTCCCATCTGACTCTCAGATCTTCCAAGATTATCCTTAGCCATAGCAGTTCACATATCCCGAGTGCCATTGCTTTAAATTCGGCTTCTGCGTTGGACCTTGCAACCAAATTCTGCTTTGTGCTTCTCTAAGTAACGAGGTTACCACCTAGGAAGGTGCAATAGCCCGAGGTTGATCTTCTGTCAATCATGGATCCTGCATAATCCGCATCTGTGTAGGCTTCAAGAGTCGGTCCTTCCCCTTTCTTAAATTGAATTCCTCTTCCTGGTGTACCCTTCAAGTATTGCAGAATTCTATACATAGCTTTGAGATGTGATTCTTTGGGATTGTGCATGAATTGACTCACAACACTCACAGCATAAGCTATATCCGGCCTGGTATGTGACAAATAAATTAACTTCCCCACAAGTCTTTGATAAGCCACGTCTTCTAGAGCATCACAAAGTTTGTGGTTTGACTCCATAGGTGTCTCAACTGGCTTACATCCCAGCTTACCTATATCAGCCAATAAGTACACATATTTTTGCTGTGATATAAAAATCCCTTGCTGAGAGTGGGCTGCTTCAATACCAAGAAAGTACTTCAGTTTTCCTAGCTCTTTGATCTCGAATTCCTTCACTAACTGTTTCTTCAAGCTCTCCATTCCTTCCAAGTCATCTCCTATTACTATGATGTCATCCACATAGACCAACAATACTGTCACTCCCCCTGATGCTGAGTGCTTTACAAACAATGTATGATCACCTTGACTTTGCTTATATTCCATACTCACCATCACTTATGGTAAATCTCCCAAACCAAGCTCTTGGGGATTGTTTCAGTCCATACAAAGCTTTTTTAAGCTTACATACCATTCCTTCCTTTTCATTTGAGCCAAACCTAGGCGGAATTTCCATATAGATCTCCTCCTCGAGATTGACATGTAAGAAGGCGTTCTTGACATCAAATTGCTATAATCTCCGGCCAAAATTTGCAGCCACTGATAACAAGATTCTCACAGTATTCATCTTAGCAACTGGAGAAAAAGTCTCAAGATAATCTATGCCGTAGGTTTGTGTATACCCTTTGGCAACTAATCTTGCCTTATACCTTTCCAAAGAGCCATCTGAGTTGTATTTGGTTGTGAACACCCATTTACACCCAACCGGCTTCTTCCCTTTAGGCAGTCTCACCAAGTCCCAAGTCTTGTTTTTCTCAACTGCTTCCATCTCAACCTTCATAGCATTTTCCCAATTCTCATTTCCTAATGCATTGGATAAAGTTTGGGAATAGGGACTGTATTTAGGCTAGTAAGAAAGGCCCTGTGGCCCCTGTGGTTATGAGAAAGATTCTTATATAACATGAACAGATAAAGAGGGTGTTTGGTACAAGTTCGAATTCCTTTTCTAATTGCAATAGGTACATCATAATCATTCTGTTCAAAGGTTTCATTGGTGCTATCATTGGATTAAGTAATTACCTCGACATTACCAGGAGCAGATGTGGGTGATTAAACTTACACAGGTTGAGAGATTGGTGTTCTTTCCCTTGAGTAAATCTGCAATGGACGAGTAGAGTCTTGAGTTTGCTTCCCATGTAACACTCCTCTCAACTTGCACAGGTTAAGAGATTGGTGCTCTTTTCTTCCTTGTTTCCTATTTTCTATCTCTTTCCATTCTCAGAATTACTTCTCCTATATAGAGGAGCCTCCAACATTGTATTGTGTATGAGTTGAGAGCGTATTAAAAGTGATGTAGCCCTTTGGGCTCTTTGTGTCGTGGATGTAAGTCCTTGTGGCTAAACTATGTTATATTTGTGTGTTCTTCATATTTTAATTTCTCTCTTCAACTTTTATTTTTCTTTCAACATGGTATCAGAGCCTAATTTCTCTTCCTAAGTTCAAACCGCTATTTTAGGGTATTCCCTTAGCATCTGAAATGATGCTAAGGGTTTCTCAGTGCTATTTGTGACTTGCTTGGACTGCCGATGTGTTCAGTAGCACTGTTCTTCACCTTTGCCGTGTCTCTGGCAGTTTATATTGATTTGTTTAGGTTGCCGGTTTGTTCGGTAGCATTGTCTTCGCCTTTTCCGTGTCTCCGACAATTTTTGTTTGACTTGTTTGGGGTGCCGGTGTGTTTAGCAGCATTGTCTTTGCATTTGCCGTGTCTCCGGCAATTTTTGTTTGACTTGTTTGGGCTGCCGGTATGTTCGGTAGCATTGTTCTTCATCTTCCTCATCTCTCTTCATCATTCACACTTGCTACTACTTGTCATCTCAATGGCAAGTTGGGCATTCATGCTCCAACTCGAGGGGAAGTATTGAAGATTTAATGGAGGAATCAATGGAGGAAAATCCTCCTTGCTTCCTATTTTCTATCTCTTTCCATTCTCATAATTTCTTCTCCTATGTAGAGGAGCCTCTCTCTAGAGGAGGGACATCAGTTTGAAGTTTGGTGAGGAGAGGGGAGGGTGGTGTTCCTTAGAAGTGCGGGGCCCAGCTGAAGTTGGAGTTTGGAAATTCATTCGGATGGGCTGGGATAAGTTTTCAAAGCATATTTGTTTCAAAGTTTGAGATGGCTAGAACATTAGGTTTGGGGAGGATATTTGGTGTGGGGATCACTCTCTCGCCCGCATCAACCTGAGGCTCCCATAGGATTGTGATGGATAGGCATGCCATGGTCACTAACCGCTATCACCTTGATAGTGGAAGGATGGCATGGGATGTGCAGTTCGTATTGGTATTTCCAAGATTGGGTGGCTTCTTTTTTTTATTTTATTTTTTTGCTTGGACAACATTGTTGGGCTGGATTCTTACCATAGACACCTCGAGGAGGAGGAGGCGGACCCAAGTGAACCGGTGCTTCATGTGCAAGGTGGACGAGGTGTCGAGGAGAGAGTTGATCATCTTCTAATTCATTGTCCAATGGCTAGAAATTGTTGGACTATGCTTCTGGGCATCTTCAGAGTTTAGTGGGTTATGCCCCTATCTTCGAGAAGTGCGTTTGAGGCATGGAGGGGTGGTTTTGTGGGAGACCAGGTTCGTGTCACCTGGAGGGTTGCGTCTCTGTGCTTCTAGTGGTCTTTATGGAGAAAGAGAAATCAGAGGTCCTTCAAGGGAGTGGAAACCCCTATTAGTGTGCTTAAGTTATCTATTCTTAACACTTCATTTTTTTTTTTTTGGAATCAAGGGAGAATTCGTAAATCTATAGGGGCGATAGTGGACTTTGTGGATACTTTTGAGTATCTAGGGCCCTATTTGGCCATTGTATAGTTCTTGGGATGCACTCTCCTCTTCACCACTGTATAAAACACTTACAAAAAAAAAGTGATGCATAAGACTTGAACCCACATTTGACATTCGGTTGCTCTAATACATTATTTTGAAAATAACAAAATGCATTATGAAAAAAAAAAAAAAAAAAAAAAAGAGGACAATAACAAAAACTAGAATCAACTATAGATTGGTATAGCCAAACCAGTAGAACTTATTTCCAGACATAGTTGCAGAATAAACTGATGAAATGACTTGAGGAAGACATGACAAAGTCCCATTTCTAAATGCAGCATCAAATCACCTTGTAAGTATTGTTTTGAGAATCAAACTGGTCCACTGTGCCTGAATTGTAGCTGAGAAATTCAATAACAAACTGTCACACAAAATGACCGTAAACTGTTTCAGAATTGATTACCTTCAACTACAGATACTTACCATTTATCAATCGGAGACCATAATTGAATCTGCTGCCTGATTAACACTTTGTTCTTATTTCCAATTTCCTATACGTATCAGAAGTATTGATTACTTTAGGAAATGGGATTAGAAAGATAATGATTTCCATACACTTCTATTGCGACAACCTAGTGCATACCTTTGAACCGCAAGGATCCGAATATCTGTTTCCTATACCTTTTGAAGGTTCAGCAGTATTGTTACGTTTTGTTAGTCTGTCATTTTCTTTCAAAGAAGCAGAATTTATCAAATCTTCCTTCAAAGTTAGTGAAGGATCCGTAGTTACAGAATCACACGATGATGGAAGTTCTTTTCCTACAATTGGTTCAGAATTTCCAAACACACCCATTTCGTCCTCATCATCGATAGAAAAATCATTATGCAATCCAACTGATCGAGGAGGGCAGGGAAAGAGGGCCCGTTTTTTTCTTCCTCTAGGGTTGATCTCTTGCTTCAGAGTTTCATGTGTTTCCCTCCCATGTGCATTTGGGCTCTCACTTTGTTCACTTATCCTACTTTTTAATACATCACTATCGCTGCATAATGCCAAGTTTAATGAGTCACACTTAATGACATCTGGCTGTGAGCAGTCGTCTTGGCTTTTCTGGCCACATTTTGATTGAGTGCTAGCATGCTGGCAAATTAATATGAAGAACATAAGGATACAAATATTTGAAAAATTGTTAACATGAGTTTAGCATGTCTGTGTATCTGTGTGTATGTATCAGCAAAGGTAAGTACTAGAAACCAACCTGAGAGATGTGTGATTTGAAACTATGAACCATTCTCTCAACAATATTTTCATCAAAACCACGCTGATCAAGACAATGTAAATTAGCTTGCAAACAACAAAAAAAATGGAACATAATCCAGCATAAGAAAATTTTCAAACAATGGTTTTTTACATGCACTAAGCATTTACCAGCAAGAGAACTTACCTCTCTTTTTTCTCCAAGACTAATTCTGTAAAATGACGACGGCAGCAAAATAACACCTGGGGTATGTGATACCAAAATGCCACCATGACAGAAAACATTTAAGATGGAGATTCCAAAGCTTGCTAGAATCTGAAGTTTCTGCAATATAAGAAACCCTATTGTTGCATTAATGCAGCTATGGAATAAAGGACAAGGAAAAGATAAACCTTCTTGCAGGAGACTTAAAGTACTTACAGTAGTTCTCTGATAATCAACAGCATCCTCAGCCCTCTTAATAGCATTGAAAATACCACATAAATATGAGATCGCATCATTCACAAGGTCCAAGTCACCGTCAAGAAAAGTAGCATTGACTAATGCCTGCAAGGTGAAAACAAGTGGGCTGCAAAGAAGGAAACATGCAGCAAATGTTGTTAAAATAGACTTGATAATTAAGTTCATATTTAATAACTGCAACTTTGTCATAGAAATACATGAACCTGCAAAAGCAAGCATAAATTCCTTCATCTTGACAATTTTCAGGTGGGAAACCAGTATCGTGAGCAAGAACATGGATCAAGAAGACCACTAGGTATGCTGGATGATCTATCAATCCTCCTTGCATTGTAGAAGTCTGGTGAACTCTCGCTCCTCTACTATATTCCCTTATAAATTCTTCCATGTATTTCAGGGACTATGATAAAGAGGGTGTCAAAAAGATACACAACAAACTTCCTAAAAAGAATAACCATATAATTAATTAATTAATTGTACAGCCTTAACCAGAACGCAAAGACCTACATCATCTTGCAGATCTTTTAGGGAATCTGAGGCGGCCAATGCAAAAGCACACGCATATTTACTTGGTAAAGCATGCTTCTTCAGTAGCTTGTGTGTTTTACTGACAAACAATCTGCGTACAAATGACGAGGAGTCCTGGCATATGACAGAAGAAATGTGCATAATCAAGATCATTGCCTATGATCATTAGAAAATCACCAAAATAGACATAATTAATTCAAATAAAGGTAGAATGGGACTGACAACTGAAAAAGTTCAAGCTTGGTCTAGCAAGTGTACCAGAATAGAAGCAATGGGGTTCTACCAGCATATAAAACGGCAGAAGTTAATAAGCCATTTTATACATAACGAGAGAATTGGTTAGGAGGAACTGGTAGACATTCAACACTTCAACCCTTTATAAAATCTATCCCCTTCACTTTATTAAAACAAATATCTCTCCAAATTCTTGATTTATCTTTTCTTGAGTTGCTGGGCTTGTATTTTAAACAATGGCATTTGCCGATAATTGATACCTAACACGATATTCTACCATGATGAATATATAATAATAAACCCACATTTCACATCAGTGATTGAATTGAGTGCAACTCGCCACAGAATGACCATCACAATCTAGACTTTGGTTGCTGAACATTTCAACCCATTTTCATCCTGAAGAACACAAAATTCTACCACAATGAATATACTATTATAATACCTTCTTTTAAGACAGCAATTGATACTAGTGCACCTCAGTTAGAAAAGAAAGGCCCATTTTCTGAACTTGGAGCTTACAAAAAGTGTTAGCCTAACTGAAGCAGCATGAGGAACTTCAGTTGAGCCTGACAGGCCTTAAAGTTTTTACAACCTACTGCTACATGCACTATTAACAACAATGCATTCCCCACTCCCCCACTGTGCTGGCAAAAGCTCAAACTCTAATAAAATAACGGTGAAACAAGACATCTAAAATAATAACCAACAAGAGCCAGTCATCATTTAGCCAAATCTGAGGCTCTCTCCTCACATCCAACAACTGCCACTACTTTCTTGTGGCTGGCTCTACCAAACTTGGAACACATAAGCGTACTCCCAAAAACATCCAATAATTAGTGATTCTTAAAAATAGTAGATTATGCATATACACAAGAAACAAGATATAACATGGTTTACAATATCCCACCTACATCCGCAAATGAGACAATCTAAATAATCATCACTAAATTATCATAGAGGAGAAATATACATAACAACCCAAAAGATATCCATGGGTGATAGAGCCCTTCTTATTCCAATGTTCTCTCTTAACTCATAATTGTCAACCAAACCCTATCAGTAGAATTGTCAGGACCCATATAATTTATCACGCCTTCCCCTTACAAGTTTCAATCAGTAGCATAGCTATCTATGTCACACCCCACTCCCTGCAGGCACGTGAGATAACCACAGTTTCCAAAAGTGACCAAAACCTCAAACCTTATTTCATGAGGTGTCTGATTTTATTATTATTATTATTATTATTATTATTATTATTCTCTCTCTCTCTCTCTTCTGGCCGAGCTCCTTTAACTCTAAGGTCACTATATATGTTATACCATGTTTGTTTCTTGAGGTGGTTAAGAAGACTTTCAAAGCGAAGGTTTTCCTTAATTCTATATATATATAGTTATACTTAAAACATATGTACAGGTGTCTTGTGTGTGTGAGTTTTGTGCGTGTACAATGATAGGTGTATTTACATGAGACATGTATCACACCATTTTTTTTTCTTTGGTTAATTACACTTGTCACCTTAATGTTTAGCCACACTACACAAGTCCATATAAATACACACACACACACACACACACACACATATCATGCATACATATTTAGAAAAGGTGGCGGTTATCGACCCAGGTGTGACATTTTACGACTTATTTCAGCTAATTACAATATTAAC